AGATTATTAAAAACTTGAATATAAAAATCTGTAAATAAATTTTATTTTATCTACACATAAATTCTAATTCACTCGAAAAGCAAATACGTCAAATATTAATTTGTCAGTTAATTTTATTTGAACAAATTTATTTTAGATTTACTTTGAGATTAAATGATGAAGCATTAAAGTTAAATCATAATAATAATCATAACAAAAATATTTTTGATTCAGTTATAGTATCATTATGATGCCAATGTCTGCGTCAAATTCTGCTCGGATTCTACATCCGAGAGTATTGACCTACAGAAAACGAACTATTCTGAAAGTTTGCAAACGCTGACGTTCGACTGCGATTCGTGTGCAAGAAGCGGTCGTGCCGTAGGAAATTAATATATCTGGTACACAGTCGTTCTCCTGCCGAGGAGGGAAAAGATCGACGACCCCAAGGAACGTATCTGGGTTAGTAGTCGTCGGCGATTCACGCGGAAACTTCTTTCGCTAGGCGGGACCGCCGTCGACTGGCTCGCCATCGTGGAAATCGCAACGAAGCGAATCGCACGTGTATTTCCGTCGAAAAGTGAAATTTGGTATAAGCTGTCGTATCACGTATGCCCACGCCGAAATTTCGTCACACTGGCGAAGGAGGAAGAAGAGGAGGAGGAGGTCAACGGCTTCGCCGGCCATATAATCGTAGCGTAATACGAGAACATCGTTCACACGTAGACCGGATTTGCTACGGTATATGTGTGAACGATATTTTATTGGCATGTACCTATAGGTCTTTGTGTTTATTCTTTATTTTATTTATTTATCTAAATTTGCAATGTTTTTTTTCTACGCATTTGAATGAATGATTTCTTTTTAATGATCTGCCACGATTTAATGATCGGTTAAACGTAAATTTTGTAATGGGAGTTTCGGATAGACTGTATGGTCAAAGCAGCGTTGGGAAAAAAAATCTTGCTTGCAAATGAAATTCTACAGTTCGCTCGATTCCGATAAAATTACGAATAAATCATGTGTAACCCAATATTCTATTAATATCGGGTGCAGCGCCAATGAATTATAGTGGTGCTAAATTGTCCTATGGTAAATATGTATTCTGCTGCTTCTGTTCTTCGTTGAAAACCTCTATTCTTTTTCCGCATAAATAATAAATATAATAAATCATAAGCATGAATTGAATAATCGCTAAATAATATTGAATTTATATACTTTGTATTATATATATATATTGCATTGTCCAAAATCTTATAGCCAAATCTTATAATAAATCTAAAAGCAGAAATTCTTCAAAAATATGACATCTATAAATGATTATAATATCATATTAAGATTTATATTACGATTTTTAGAACATTTACATCTAGAAAACGATATTTTTCTATTTTCCAAAATTTTATTTGTGATTGACTTCTTTGTCTTTTTATCTTCAAATCGATGATTGAATTTGTGGAAGTACCAGTGAACCCATAGTGATTGCTCACATAACCTTGCGCGATCGAGACCGGTCTTTCGGATTAGGGTCCGAGAGTTTCAAGAGTTCAACGACCTCTCTTCTCTTTTTGCGACATGTTCCACGGTTTCATCAACTAATCTTGCTCGAAAAGACTCGAGTTGCGCACGCTCTCTCGCATAGTCGAAGTGAACGGGGTTACCGATCTCAAATGGCCGTGACTCTGGGCCAGGGTCTGGGCCAGTCGGATTCCACGTACCCGGTGATCGCGAAGTCAACGCGCAAAAAACTGACCGAGGATTTATATGCCGGCGATGCGTGGGCATTATATGTACCATTGCTCTCTTTGCATAATTCTATAATAAATCGCAATGCTCCGTATGCGAAACGACCGATTTTATTTATACAAAAATTGTGATTAAACTATCGAGCATTGATCAAATAAGTTGCACGTTTAATTCGTAAAATGTTTCATCGCTTCATAACTCGAAAATTATTAATTCTTAGTATACAACAATGAGTTTCCAGTTCTTTATATGTACTACATACGCCATCATTTTTTCTCGGGTTAATTTTTATCATTTTAACAAATATATAAAAATTATTAAGCGATCTTACATATACACTGAGAGAAATGTTTGGTACGTATAATCACTATTCATTTTATTGATATGTGACTAACAAAAATTTTTTATTTTTTCAATTAAAAATTGTGTCCTGACTAAAATTTGGTTATTCTAACCAAAATTTGAATAACTAAATTTGGTTGTCCTAACTTTGATTAGGACGACAAATTTGGTTAAAATAGTGAAAATTTCGTCCTAACTAACATTTGATTAGAATAATCCAATTTTGATTATAACATAATTTTTAAATAAAAAACTAAAAAGATTCTTATTAATCACATATTTCTCTCTCTCTCTCTCTCTCTCTCTCTCTCTCTCTCTCTTTGAACAAAATTTTGATCGTACATACAAAAACATTTCTTTCAGTGTACTTTTATATTTTTATAAAATATTTATAAGGTTGTATATTTAAAAAAAAATGTATATAAAAATTATAAAACTAATTATTTAATGCTCCTAATTTTTTGAAGAAAGGAAGTATGCAGAATACGAATGATCCAATCGTGTGTACCCAAGGATTAGTATTTCCATATTTTCGCTGTCATTGATTGTTGGATTATTTAAGATAATAATAAATTGTCTACTGATTTAATTACTGATTATAATCGTGCGCATCATACGTAGTCGCTTCATGCACCCAGTCGTGAATGAGAATAGATAGTTGGAGGGGTGGTCTGAAGTAGTCGGAGGGGTTAAACGTACGTTCTCGTAAAGAGGTTACGAGAGGGCGGTAGACAAGGAGAAATAGCGAGAAGGATACACTGAAGAAAAACATGAAAATGCCAAGAAATTAAAATAGTTTATGTGGCAATAGTATGACGAGAGATTTTTTGAAGAAACGATTATAATACCCTAATTAGAAGACTATACAAAAATCTTATTATTTATATAAAAACTGAAAACTATTTAATAACTGACAGTTAGGATGCGATGTATCGCATTTATATAATGAAACATAATGTCTAGTTATCAATAAAAATCAATAATACATTAATCCACCTTTTATTTTTGAACTTTTTAAACCTAAAAATAATTAGAATTATTTAAAATAATATTGACGTTTTATATTGGCGTCGCTAACAATTTGAACATCACTAAAATTTCCAAAAATATTTCTCATCCAACTATTAACCGAGCTTTCGCTAAATTAAACTGTCAGTTCTTCTTGTATCTTGTAAAGTAAACATATCGCAAAAAATAATCTGAAGAATTAAAGTTTAGAAGTAATCGACACTGTTTTCTGCTGTCATCGACAATGACGAAGAATGAACAAACAAGTACTGCGATGATGACGAGAGAAAGGGAGAAAGCGACGCATGGAATAAGGGTAGTGCGCCAAGGGGGGTTGGTTGCACGCGCGTCGAAGCGGGCGGTGGGTTGAAAGAGGTGATGGGAGGCTGAAGAGAGAAAGAGCGGGACACGCGAGGAGGGTGTAGCGATAAACGGCAAGACGAGGATGCAAGAGGGAAATGCACGAAAGAAAAAGAGAAGAGGAGGGGGAGGAGGAGAATGGTGGTAGGGACGAACGAAGAGCAATGAGCGGGATGATAGACGGGGTTGGAAAGTAGCGTACGATAAAGCGAGACGCACAGAGGGAAGAACGGGAGGATTCGGGGTAGCGAAGACCGAGGCAGGGAGCGGGAAAGAGAAATGGGAAACACAGAGAAAGAGAGAGAGAGAGAGGGGGGGAACCTCCGGCAACGGGTCGATCGAAAGCGCAGCGCAGAGAAATGCACCACCTCTGCTCTGGTCTGGCAGCTTTGCGGGCACACCACCGCGTCCGCGTGCGTCAGAAAGAGAGAAAGAGAACGACGGCGCGAGAGAGGGAGAGATGGAAAAAGAGGGAGAGAGAAAGGGACTGACGGAAGCGGAAGGGAGACCGACGTATATCCGCCGACCAATACCGACATAGGGGGAGGAAGACGAGAGGAGAGCCAAGCCAAGTCGCGTTGGGCTAGGTCAGGTCTACCCGAGTTCCACACACACCGTGCTCTCTTGCGTGTGCCATCCCGCCGAGAAGAGAACCACACGAAGGCGGAGGCACAACCCCTTCACGAAAGAGAGAACCGCCGCGAACCATCCGGTATTCGCGAGTGGATTCTCCAAAAGCGCTTCGAAATTTTGAAAAGAAAAAAAAATCTGCTTGTCTCATTCGCTAGCGACAACGGATAGATCGGTGCCGAAGAGTGTGTTCGCACGGGAAAGCCGGTGATAGTGCGCGTTCGTTGGATGACGCTTCGAAAAGGATGACGCGAAAAAGATATCCCGATCGGTAGTGAATAATTGCTAGTGTTGATGCGCGAGTGTCGGGCCTTAAGCTAGAATCGATTTCCTCTCAATCTCTGCTCCCGAGGAAGGTGAAGGAAGTAAAAAAAAGAGAAGTGAGAAAAGACATCTCCTTGAAGGAGATTCCGATCGTCGATTCGCTCGGTGGTGGCGGCGAGAATTGGCATTGTTGACAAACAACGAAAGTGACGGCGATTCGGGAAAGGAAATGTCGTCCAATCAGTAGGAATACTAGGAATCGATTGCAATTCCCTTTTTTCGATGTCCTGATAATCGATAAGCGTCGTCGACGCGTAGGTGGCCGCGTAGGGACCGCCTAGGTAGCGAGAGCCGGGGCAGCGATCGGCCTTACCGACGTAATTTCTCGCCCTCGTCTTCCGTGCCACCCTCGACGTGATCACATTGGATTAAATAAATGTTGAGGGTAAACGGCGCCCTGCGTCGCCCGCAAACGCGAGGCCAGGAAGATCGGACCCCAAGTGCAACCGGGGTCGGCGCGATGCCGGTCTCTCTGAGGAACCACAGGATCACATAAAGGGTGCCCGCCGGTCCGACGATTTTAGAGCCCTTCGTACTGCGCACGCACGGTCGCGCAACGGCAAAGGGATCGTGACAGAAGAGGGTGTTCTCCGAGTAATCCAAAGTGGTGAACCTACCTACGCCACCACCTCGAGGAACAACACTGTCGTCGTGTTTGGCGGCATCCGATGCACCAAAAGCTGTGAGTACCATAAATCCGGCTTCCGACCGATTGACATCGCACAATTAACACGTATCGCAAAGTACAAGGGAATACATTCGTCAAATTATAGAATGCCACTATAAGAATCGAAAATAACAATACAAATTTTCTTGAGTAATCCTTTGTTATTATATATCTGGAATCTAAAGTGAAAAAATACAGGCTGCCGACATCGCTGCCTCGAAACTAATGGTGGTGAGAAAAATGGAGCTCTGTGCATAGCCCTTCACTATCCCAAATATTTGGAAATAGTGAGAAAATAAGTTTTCTGATGTATAGATATTCTTTTTATATACGTATTGTTTTAACGAGTTTTACTTCGGAAGACTAGTATAAAGGCCAATAGACATTTCAAATTTCGAATAGATTCAATGGAGTATGCTACGAAGAGATAATAGAAAATGGATATATATATATATATTTTTTTTTCATCCGAAAAAGATTGATAATTATAAGTGATATAAAGAAATTGGAAAAATTTATAACGCAATGCGTAGCGACCGACCAAAACACCATATATATCCTTTTGCTGGGGATCGATCCTGTACAATCGCGGCTGCAATTTTTGCAATGTTGCATCTGCAGCGTTCTTCTGTAAAATGCGATGCATTGAGTGTTTGAACAATTGCAGTAGCAGTTTCCAAATTTTTCATTCGGAAATTTTATTGCAAGGTGAAATTCTAGGAAGAAAGAGAAAATAAATACCGGCATCGATAAATATTAATTAAAAGAAGTAATTTAATTATATCGAGAGACGATCAACTAATTCTGGTAAAAAATTAATTTTTTTGTTTAAAAAAAATAAAATAGATATAAATAATTGAAAGTTGATGAAAAAAAAGTATCACACAGTATATCGAATAATCGAGAAAACTATATCTGCGCCAAACAGAAACCATATTATATAATATTCGCCCTTCCGACATTTTCCGTGAAGGAAATATAGGAAAAAAATAAAGAAACCTTAGAATTTCGAATACAAAAATCAATTTTCGAAGGAACTTACAAGAGGATGAAAATAACCAATTGTTTGTCGTCGAGAAAAAATTGAAAAGCAAAGCTTCTATCTGTAAAGGAGAAATTATCTCTGTAGAACAATAATTTAAAAGATTGTTAAAAATCGCTTAAAAATCGCAAAGCTTTCCGATGTATAAATTTACATTTATTACATTTCAGCAAAAGAATTAATCTCGAAAATGCGATGTCTATTTTATAAGAAATCTATTTTCTTGAGAATTCGGGAACATGATAAAACGCTTTTGGTCGGAAAATCGCATCGAAAGCATACGCAAGCGAGCGGTTTGCGATACCGGCGATGCGCGATTTTCATGGAAATCGAAATCCACCGGGTAGCGAAAACCCTCAGCGGGTGGTAGCGGGCGGGGAGGACTTCGGAGTTTATGCCCCCGTCCGCCTCACCACCCCCTGCTTCTCCTTCCTTTCTTCCTCCCTCCCTCCCACCCCTGCAGTCGATCAATGCGTGGACGGGTTTCACTTTCGCGGTGTTAAAGTGTTGCACCACCGCAAATTGAAGAGCCCGCACTGTCGAGAAAACTGGATTGCGGATCGCGATTCGTTCAATGACATTTTCTGTGCTGGCAATTTATTTGATATTTTTTTGAGAACATAGAAAAAATTCTTTGTGATATTAATTTGGTGTTTTAATCATCTTTAACTACACGTGAGCGGATGATATTATTTCAAATGATATTATTTCTGTACAATGAGCATGGATTATACGTCACTTTTTGTCTAAAATAAGATCTCCGAACCGAAAGCATATGGAAAATTGATCGAGAAACTGTTCTAGATTATTGACTATTAAGTGTCTTTATTCGTTTGTTACTTATTTTTGTATCGATTTAGTCGGTTTCAAATAGTTTATGTTTCGCTTCGCGAAGTATATTGCGAGTATATTGCAAATTTATCATTTTTCAGAGTTGCGCGAATATATGGAGCAAGGAATAGAACTGCGCACCGTCAGGACTTTTTAATTATTCCTTCGATAACGATCGCGCCGGTTAACTTTTGCGAGACTTAATGATGACGCCTGAGCTTAATCGAGTGTTTGCTCGATGATAAAAATAAAAAACGTAAATCTATAAAAAAAATAACAAGTAAAAAATAGTGGATATCAATGGCGAAGCTTCGATTATTCATTCGAAGTGTTATTGAACGAACGAGAGTGGAATATACGAGCTCACTTCCTAGAGATCGTTAGCAAGTAGGATCGAATAACAAGCGAAAGATAACACACATGTGACAGCGATATATACGATAAAATTAATAATCTCAAAACGTACTATAAAAATTCAAAGCCTTTCTAATGTACATATAATCCGCTTAAAAGGACATTTAATCCGTCATTCGATTGTACTTTCCGTGGCTACCACAAGAATATAAATTAACTACTATATTGTAGAATATTGTAGAATATTATAGAAGTCCTTAAGCTGTAATGCAGATTCTATCATAATTCATAACGATGAAATTTGAGATCATTTTGCGCACGGAAAAATTTTACCGAAATATCTAAAAATTTAGCTAGAGATACACATTTAAAAATAATTTTGTTGAACCATCAAAATAATTACGTAGGAAACTCAAGTATGATAAGCAATGCTGTGGAAAATATTCACATTCCTATTTTAAGAAAGAACTATCTTCCTAGAAATTATTTTCCAACAAAATTATTTTTAGATTTGTATCTGACTAAATTTTTATATATTTTAACAAAATTTTTTTTTCGTACAATAAATTCCGTGAAATAATTTTGTTAATCTTTATTTCTGTACATCGTAAATGCAGCAGATATTTCAAATATAGAAAATATATTAAAGTTAATTAAAATTATTTTCTTTCCGATCCTATTTCAAACTGTAATTGTACGTTATTAAAATTAAAAAAATAAACAATAAGATTAGAAACAATTTTAAAAAATGAGGAATATTTTCACGCAAGTATTTCGCATTTTCCGACATCAAATGATAAAGAGTTTTCGATTCTATTTGCAGCAAAGGATGGAGGCTAGCGAGTGGGATCACGCGACCTTGAGGGAGGAAGAATTCGAGCAGCATGCCGTATATTTGGTACCGGATGTGTCAGCATCACCGGGCGATACCAATCGTGCCGAGTCGTCCTTGCCACGGAACTTGGTCCTCAAACCCTCTCAAGCTCTCAACGATGTATGTTCTTTTGCAAAACAAAACTCATCTCGAAATCTCAGTAGAGAGAAGGAATTGCGTGTTTAATCGTAAATCGCATCAGATTATCAATTCTTTGACGCTATCTAAGCTCACGCAAAGTCACGCGAAAAAATTGGAATCATTTCCGGAAAAAAAATTACAATCTATTAGAATGAAACATTAAACGCCATCAAGCTGAAAAAAAAAAATTTTGGGATTTAAATAGATATTTGTACACGCGAGAAATATTAATCGTATACTAAGAAAACTACTAGTAGAAATTTGGTAATAATTTTATTTTTAGTCTCTCATTAAAAATTTTCTTTTCATTTGTCTGCTATAGTTTATAATCAGCACAAATTCCAATTACAATTTACATATATTGAGTTTTCAGGATATTCACTGAAATCTTGTAAAAAAATTTTTCTCAAAATTCTTTGATTTTTTTCTACGTATTTTTGTTGAAAATTCTAGATAATATATTAGAGAATTTTTTAATGCAATTTTGAAATAAATTGGAATTAATAAATTAGAAGCAATAAAAACAAATTATATATTACAAATTAGCAGAAAGAGATTCCCCACGAGATTATATCTATCATTGTCTACAATTGGAGCCGCGAAATCTACATAGAGATAGTTCACTACAATATCAAGCTACTTTCCCTGAGCATTGATAAAAATTCCGTAAAAATCCTTAATTTCCCTAAGGATAAAAAAGAAATCTCTGAGAATTCTAAATTTTCTAGGTTTTTCCAAATAAAGTGTGGTTTTATTCAACAGAATATATAATAATTTTTACAAAAACTTTTATAAAATAATTTTTTTTTAATTTTTTCAATTTCACATCAAAAGTTTCTGCATGAAGGGAGATAGTAAACAACAATAACGTGAATGTTAATGATTGAAATATCATATTGAAAAGACATAATTTTTAGATAAATATAGGTTTTAGATAAATGGCGCGAAGAGAAGAACATGAAGTGCGCGAGAAGGCGTTGGCCGAATGACACCACGAAATCAAACTTGACCGAGAGACGAAGCTAATTAACTTACGAAGCATGACCTAGAGGCGAAGTTGAATCGTTACACTTTCCTCAACGCGGTAGAGGAAAGAAAGAATCGAGAACGTTCAATGCAATCGACGCGAAACTTTTACTCGAAGCTTCTCTACGTCGAATGAAATTATGAAATTTCGAGTCCGGCGTGGAAATCGAAATGTTCGCGAATCGCGCAACGGTGTAATATATTGAGAACGAGAAACGCGCAATGGGCTAATCGACGTCGGTCGAGCTTCCGTTTGTCAAAAGAGAAACAAAAGCATCGGAAGCGCGCGCTGGACTGAAAGCACCGAAGAGTTAAATTAGTTTTGCCGAATGGACGTTTCTATGCACGCAGGGCGAATTCTATTCTAACGTGAGCCGGAATGAAAATAGGTTCTATCTTCTGCCACGTATTTTAACACAACGCCGGAATAGATGAGAACGGGCGATGAGAATATCGGAGGAAGCAAACAATACGCTTTTACCAATCACCGATCATTTATACATTTTAGTAGTTTTTGCGATTTCCCGAACGAAGCTTAAAGACTCACAAAGAAAAATTTATCGATAACGGCAAATTTTCGGATTTCGAATCCATTATGAATTATACAATTGATTTATGATTTCGAATTAGCGCTATCGTAAAAATAACTCCTTATAACTACTTATTATAATTCTTTCTACTTCATTTATTTTTTGTAAATTTGTGATACCTTTTATCAAATTATAAATTTTTTTATATCAAGTTATAAAATATGACGAAACTTATTGAAAAGAATTATTTATTTGATGTATAAATGACCAAGACTAAATAATTAATTATGGATGTATAAATGGTGAGAGCTAATTGATGTTTAGCTTCAAATATCATTTCTCAATTTTAGTTGACATGATTAATCGGAAATTACATGTGATAGGTGTTGGGTGTATGGAGCACCAGTTACATCCCCAAAGGGACACGTTTCGGCCCTCTGGTTGGTCAGGTGTATACGAAGGATTCGGTACCGGCAGACGCGAACCGGAAGTACTTCTGGCGGGTAAGAAATCAATTTTACATCTCTACTTCAACCAAGATATTATTCGGATTACGCAAATAACTCTCTTTATCGAGACAAAAGTCAACGTAGACAGATTCGATAATACTAATGAAAATTTAAAAAAAGAAGACGCAAAAAAAGATTTAAGATGAGAAGCCAGCAAAGATCAGAAACTGGTTTCAACCAGTTTCAATCTAACAAGTCTTAAAGCAAAAATCCACGAGAAGCCGTTGATATGTAATTTATCAATACATTACAATTACTTAGTTCCTTCACAATTTTCTCATGAAACATACGATACAAATTATGATGAGAATTAACAAACGTGAATGTTAATCAGTGCCTTTGCAGTAGTTTCTTGTAATAATTCAGTATTTTCTCATAAGAAAATATTGAATTATTACAATTATTATAAGAAAATATTTGAAAAAATATAAATATTTGATAAAATTTAAATTGTAATCTTGGTTGAAAATATAACTTTAGAAGCTCTTTATAACCATATTATCAAGAAAATATATTAATATTTTCATTGACAATATTTGCATTATAAACTCTTCGACAAGTATCACGTAACTATTTCTTTTACTTTATATACTTTATAATTTTTTTTATTAAAGATAAAATTAATAAAGATACATTTACTTGTTATTATTACGTTTCTTAATGTCTTGTATTTCAAATGAAAAAAAGATTTGTTATTATCTGTTTATTTTTATACTATATTTGTACAAAATACTCAATATGTTGTAATTTGTTGTATGATAAATGTATTATGATACGGAAGGGTTAACGATGTAATAGTAAGCGATCGATTTATAGCATTAGTTAATTGCCAACATGAAATTTTGAGAACATATAAAAAATTTAAAAGATTTTTAGATCTTTTCTTGATGTTTATACGAGGGCAAGTCAATAAGTTCTTAGAAAATCTGTCAGAGAGCACTCGCAGTGTCTTGTCACATTACTTTTGATAAGTAGCATCTTTCAGCTGATTACTGTCAAATTTTGAGCGGAATTCATCGCGTAGTTTCATTTCTATAGACGATTAAAGCAAACAATCTTTGTATTTTTTGCAAAATGGAAAAAAACGAGTTTCGTGCAGTGATCAAACATCTACATATGAAAGGTTTAACGCCGAAAGAAATCAAATCGGAGTTGGATAATGTTCATAGTACATCTGCATTTGCAACTGTATACAATTGGGTGAATGAATTTAAACGTGATCGTACATCCACATGTGATGCACCTCGTTCGGGACGTCCAAATGAGGCTGCTACGCCAATCATCGATAAAGTCCACGATATTGTTTTAACTGATCGACGAGTGAAAGTGCGCGAGTTTGGCCACAGACATATCACATGGCACAGTGATTTCAATTTTCCACGAACAATTGGGTAAAAAGCTATCGGCAAGATGGGTGCCGCGTTTGCTAACTGTGGACTATAAGCGCGACGATTTCAAAACAATGTTTGGAGATGTTTCAACATAATCCAGATGAATTTCTGCGTCGATTCATTACTGTAGACGAAACATGGATTCATTACTTCACACCCGAGACGAAGGAACAGTCAAAACAATGGATTTTACCGGATGAATTAGCTTCGAAGAAGGCGAAGTAAGTCGGCTGGAAAGATGGCCACAGTTTATTGGGAGGTTTATTATGCACGAGGTATAATTCATATCGATTACCTTAGAAGCAAACGATCAATGGCGATTACTATGCAGCTTTATTGGACCATCAACATTAAAGAAAAAATGTCCCCATTTGGCGAAGAAGAAAGTGCTTTTCCATCAAGACAATGCACGGTTCACAACGATGCCCGATGGCCAAATTCAACGAATTCCGCTACGAATTGCTTCCCCATGTAGCATATTCGCCAGATTTAGCCCTGTGCGATTATTTCCTGTTTCCAAACCTGAAGAAATGATTCGGAGAAAAGAGATTCACCACCAGAGAGCAGCTCATCGCCGAAACAGAGGCTTATTTTGATGGGTTCGACAAATCATATTATTCGGATGACTTGAAAAAGTTGGAGAATCATTGGATCAAGTATATCGAGCTGACAAAAGACTATGTTGAGAAAAATGAATCGATTAAAAAAAAATGTGTTTTACTATGTTTTTCTAAAAACTTATTTACTTGCTCTCGTATGTTTTGGGATATGATGGAACATATCTAGAACGAATACGTCCATAGTTAAAAAACCGTCACGACATTATCATAGAATCGTTTCAATCGTCGCAAATATAAAAATAATTTTCGCATTGCTCAGGTATACAAGAACAATGAACTATTCTATTACATCGACGGTTATGACGTCCAGAAATCGAATTGGATGCGTTACGTGAATCCCGCCTACTCGTCCGAATCGCAGAACCTAATAGCATGCCAGTATAAGGTAAAGTAATTTTGCAGATCGCATTTTGCGAAGGAGAGCGTATTTTAAATCGCGTCTAGATTATGCGCAAGGAAAAAAGCTCACAATTGTTGCTGCATTCGTGTTTCAGATGAACATTTATTTTTACACGATCAAGCCAATATTACCGCATCAAGAGTTGCTGGTTTGGTACTGCAGGGAATTCGCGGAAAGGCTCAATTATCCGCTCACCGGTGAGCTGATGCTTCAGAGAATACGTAAGTAGATATGTACTCCCCGTAAGTTAATATAACGTGGAAATGAAATTATAATATGAAAATTTAATGTGCAAATCAAAATCTCAATATACCACTAACTTATAATATTAAAACGTTTAGCGTTATGAGGAAAGCTATCATTTATAGCTTGTATTAAATTTCACTTGATTATTCATATATTTCTATCACCGTATTTCGTATGACATTTTTTGTTGTCTATGAATGTTTATGAATAGTCTTCTGTATAAAATAGAAGTTATAATTATTTAAATAGCTAGTGTCGCATAATACGATTTAATTCGAATTAAGAGAATTTTATCTGCCATCTGTGTCCACCTATACAGTAAGAACCTTTCAACTATATGTATAAGCGATTTTGCAAATTATAATGTAATGTTATAGAAACATTGTAAATCAGGGGTGATTAACTTTTTTGTCTGGAATATTATGGAGAATCGAAAGTTTTTGATATGTCACTACTTTACTACAGAATTAAACAAAAAAAAAAAAAAGATCGTAATCTTACTTATACTTTCTTCTTTCGCAATTGAAAGCAAAGAGACTTTTTTTGTCAAATAAAGTTTCTTTTACTGTGTTCTGTTTTACATGTGTTTTAAGGTAAATAGTTTAGCATGAAAATGAGCAAAACAAACGCAGTCAGAAAATTCAGATGTAAAAAATAAAGTTTAGTGGAGTACAGTTCCTATTTTACTATGTCATTTTTTTATTTCTTTTTTCACAGCGCGTTCTTTAGACGCACTTACTACTGAAAATGTCTTTGCATGCTAGTAACACGTATATTGTGGGTTGCCCTGTTGTAGACATATATAGAGTGTCTCAAAATTCGTGAATAAAAATCTACAGCAAGAAAATTCGTTTTCGAAAAATTAATTAAAAAATTATTTGTAAATTTTTATTTCAAGCACTAGCTTTTGAGGTAAATAAAGATTTACATGTGTAATTATAGATTACATTTAGTTATCTGAGAATAAACTGAAGTGCACGCTCATCAGCACGCATTAATACTACGCGAGAGTCATGAGTAGATAACCATAATTGACCACATTTTAATTTTCATTATTTCAAAAAATACTGCTTAAAATAAAAATTTACAGATAACTTTTTATTTAATTTTTCGAGAACTTGCTATAGCATTTAGAGCCACGAATTTTGGGGCACTCTGTAGAATATAGCAAAGTTATAGCCAAAATTATGATAAATCCAAAACTATGTATTGGATTGTAAATCCTTTTCAATAAAATCCTACTAGCATAATCCGTAAGCATAATTGGCACGGACAAGTAAGTAAATAAATACGAAAGCTGCCTTTAAAAATCTTTACAGTGCAATCGAATGTCGTATAACAAAATCCCATTTTGTGAACTTGTCTTTATTGTGGACTGAAAACTCGTAAAATGAACTTCTTCTATTTTCTCATTTCTTATTATATTTGTTTTAACACCATATTTAGAATAAAAATAAATATAGAAGGGAAAGTTCATAATAAAGACATTATTTAGTTTCGATGAGTTCACAATAGGTACGAGCGTTCGATCATAAATAGAATATATAATAAAATTTATTTAAATAATAATAATAAAATTTATTTAAATAATAATAAAAGAAGATATTTTTCTTGTTCATATATCCGAAATTGTAATCTTTTTAGATTGCATGGATTGTGTCCAAATTTACTTAAGGATATATATTGCTTTTCAACAAAATCAAAAAATTATGAAAAATTACAGATTTTTCTATATTATATTTTCTATATTATATTTTTCTATATTATATTTTAAAGTAATACAAAAAGTTTGGTAGCGATTTAGAGTCCTGGATAAAAAATGATTTCAATAAATAGATGTTTTTAAAAAATAATTAA